ACAAAACACACACCCACCAACACAACTGAACAACGCATGTGTGCATATGTAATTTAAAACTTTCAAATGTAAGCTAAGATTAATTGTACTTCTTTATTTCTAATTTTTTTTAGGTGAATAATGCTGGAATTGTCATTCCAGACTCCATAGAGACAGTCCAACTACAAAACTTCGATCAAGTATTTCGTATAAATGTACGAGCACCTTTCCAGTTACTACACCTTGCTTGTCCGCATCTCATTAAAACAAAAGGTAGTTATTAAATTCATCACATCACTGTGTATAAATACTCCCTGATAAAATGAATAACAAGCTCCATACACAATTATATTGTTTTTGTAATAATAATATGGTTTATGAAATATACACCATTTTATCGGGTGTATTATAAAAAAAGTGCCACCAACGTCTCACAACTTTTCACTGGGGGACATCCAGCAGCCTACCCTGAGCAGATTTTGTTTTTCCAGACACTTCTTTTGAGTACTTTGACAGCCAAAAACACTGCAGGTTCTATGCACCCCTATTTTCTTTTTTTTGTTGTTGTTTTGGCCTAGGCCTTTACAACAAGGTCGTGCACCAGTGACAGAGCACAGATAACACTGGTAACTACAGTATGCAGAGTGAAATGCCTAGGCTTCCGGATGTCCCCAATGGTAGTTGCCAGTTTTTCGGAAATTTTCATTTAAAATTTAGCGAAAATGGTGTAACTTGTGAATTTTCTTTTTTTCTAGGAAGTGTTGTGAATATCTCAAGTGTAGCCGGCATAAGAGCTGTAAGTAGAACAGAACAAATGTGATAAGCACTGCTCAAGTTAATTATTAATTTAAGTATTTATTTACAGGTAATAATTATTTCAGCCACAGCAAAGCTAAAATGAGATTGTACCATACATGTATGATGTGTGAAACTTTAAGGCAGGCTCTGGAGGGAAAAAACATTTTGATATGTTGTACAGCTGATTTTTCTAAGACACAAAAAGCATATTTGATGCCAACTCAGAAGCAGTTAATGAGATACCTATTTTTGATAGTTAAAAACTGGGAAAAAAAGAGGCATAACCATCCTTTTTTCCCCCACCCACTTCTTAATCAATCAAAAATCTGTATCTCATAACCCCCTTAGGTTTTCATCAAATATGCATTTTGTGTGTTAGAAAAATCAGTTGTACAACATATGAAAACATTTTTCCCTCTGCAGCATGGCTTTAATAAATTTTATACATCAACCATGGAATTTAGCCCTGTGGTTACTATTTTATCAACCAAAATGTGTGGTTAGTGAAGGTGGGCAATGAACCTGAATTAGGCCTAGGCTTATAGTAAAAACAAATGCTGACCAACTGGCCTGCTTTGCAAATTGCACTGGTTTGGGAACAACATTTTTTAGGGCCTAATTTTTACAAATATATCATGAAATTAAAGAATGATTGTTTGATGTATTGTATTTTTTCTTGCAGTTTCCTGGTATATTAAGCTATTGTATGTCAAAGAGTACTTTAGATCATATGACTGCTAGTGCAGCTCAAGGTTAGTCTGAATCACTTGACCTTTAGGGGGCACGC